TTTGGAACCTTTTCCTTATAGATTCCTTGTCCCCAGCCCCAAATTACCTGCTACATCCAGGTCCAGCTTGAAGTGAAAGGCATGCGTGTGCACTGTCCCCAGAACTTGTCCCCCTATACGGTTCCCAAAGCGAAGGGTATCCTCTCCCCCACCTAGAAAGGCTGTATTGATATAGCCTGTGGCATGGACCCGTCCCTCGAGTGCTCCATGAGGGTGTAACACAAAGTCCCAGATGTAGTCATAGTTGCCCACAGATGACACTGACCGGATAACAAGAGCTGAACCAGCCACAGCACCAAAATAACGACCCTGTGCCTGATCATGGTGTCTTCGAAGAGGCATCCCCTGAGCTTCCTCAAATACACACAGGGCCCCAGGGAGCAACTTGGCTGTCCCCTGGCCCACCAGCACATAAGCGTCCACCATAGTGGCTAAATAGGGACAATCCACTCCCCTCACAAGCCCCCGACTGTGCCGACCAATCCCATAAGTGCTATCCAAGTAGTGGGTCATCATTGTCTTAGGTGAGTGAGCACCATAAATGGAGAGACATTCCTGGACACTGATCTCATAAGCCACCCGCTCCCCCTGGAACCATACATCAAAAATCCTCATGCCACTGAATACCCCAAGGCCAAAGCTAAACGTCCAAAATGGAGAGGCTACTTGACTCCCCTGGATGCTATATCGGAGACCCTGGGGTGAGAACTGTAGGGGAGGAGGAGGACCTGGAGGAACCTTAGGCCTCAAAGATGATGCCCCATCTGGTAAAGGTGGAGTAACCCTAACCACATCCACTTGACCAGCCTTGAACTTTTGCTCCAATTGGCCCAGGTCCTCATAGTAATAGCCTTGAAAGTAGACCTTCTGGATGGACCACTGAGCTGGGTCCAAGTCCCCATGATCCAGCAGCAATTCCAGTCCCACAGGATGCAGAAAAAAGCCAGCACCTGAGACATTCTGATAGAGGGCAAGCCAGGTGGTACGCTCTCCTGATTCAAAGCCATGAGAAGGTGAGGGCACAGGTGCCAAAGAAGAGCCATCATAATTGAAGACAGAAGTCAGGAAGACAGGTGCCTTGGGCAATTCTACTTCCTTCAAGTGCCTCCATACCTGGGCAAACTCATTCTTCAGCATAGGGCGCCGGTAATAAGGGAGGGGACCCCCGCAGCGTTCTACAGTCACATCCCGAAGGTAGGAAAGATTTGGCAATGGCCCCACCACAAACTCACTCACATTGGGCTGGGCCTGATGGCCAAAGAAGACCACAGCTAGAGCTTCCCGGGGAGGCGGCGGTTCTCCCCCATCCAGGTGAGCCAATGCTGCAGCTTTGGGAGGCAGCTGTAACTCCACTGAGAAGACACAGTTGTCTGATGGGCTCGCATAGCTTGCATCTACCAACCCTGTCCCAAGCTGCTGGGTCAGGAAGCGCATCACTGAGGCCAACTCCTCCTGGGTCAGATCTGAGAACAGCCGACTCCTATTAGAATGCAGCCAAAACCGCCTGACAGGAGCCCTTGAGGGGCAGTGGGGAGGCTGGCTGGAGATACCCCTACCAGTCAACAGAACACAAACCAGAGCAAAAATGGTGACCATGGAGAGTGCCAGAAGGACCAGGACCACCTTCATATTCATAGTGACTACCAAACAGTTAAGTATTAGGAGTCCCAGGGAGAGTTCTCCCAGTTGCTTCTCCCAGCTCCAGGTATCAACTCTGGGAAAGAAAGCTACTCACTGGGTTAGGACTAAAGCTCTCCACCCTCTGGTCTAGATATGTAATTTTCCCTGTAAATGGCTTCTTTGGTCCTGCCCTCTCCATTTTCCTCTTCTGTGGTTTGGCTTCCCCAATTGCCCACCCCCCCCCCCCCAGTACACCAGTAGTCAGGTTCCAACAACAATAAAAACTGTAGGTACTTTTCATCACTGCCAATGTTGTTGGTTAAAAACTTTTAATTTAGGGGTTTCCTTTAGTTGAAGGAGAGCATAGACCAAGGGTAAAGAAATTTTTAGAATCTTGAAGTACAACCAAACAGGTGCTGGAAAAAGATTCCTGCTTTAAAAGTCTCCTTATGAGGCATCCTTGTGCAGAGGTAAAGAGCATTGGACTGGAAGTCAGAGAGCCTAAAAGGATGGCCCTGCACTGAAATCCCAGCTCTATCCATTAATATCCTCTGAGACTCAGGGCAAGTCACTTTATGTTTTATGGGGGGGGGGGGTTGAAGGGTGGGGATGGGGGGGAAGGTCTCAGTCCCCTCATCTATAAAATGGAGTTGTAATAGTTAATTTCTAAAATCCTTTCTTAATTTGGATGCTGTATATATATGCCCCTCTCCTCATTTCTTCACAGAGCCTTAGGTGAGGATTCCATTTAAGTACAGTCCAAGGGGAGCCTAGAGGTAGCCAGCATCTGTACCACCCCACTTTCCTATCCCCATTTACCTTTCTGTTTTCCTTAGGGCAAATAAGCTAGGTCCTACAAGCCTTTCAAAGAAAAGGGAACTCTTGAGTCCCAGGACTCTATATAGGTAACATGACCATCCATCACAGAAGGCAGGTATTCTTCCCATGTTTCTCCCTCACACCCCATTTCCCACACTATAGTTTTGGTTTTTTTTTAAACTGATTCTGAGAGGTGGAAGACAACAAATCCTAGTTGTTTTTGTTTTCTGTTTTTGAGTGGCAGCAAGGTTAGGCTTGTATCAGAGTATGACTGGGAAATGAAAGGTATATTTGCAAGATGTAAATCAAGGAGAGTCCCAGTCAAACATATCAAAAACCAAACAAAAAACTCACCACTCCTAGAAGTGAGCATAGACTAAGTATCAATATACAAAGTCTTTAAGGAATTGAAAATACCCTTCTGAAAATCAGAGATCAAACCCTGTCTCTGACACATCCTCACAACGTGTCCCTGAGCCAGTCACGTAATGTCTTCTTCGAATGCTCCAGTTAACTCTCTAATACTAGAGTTGATAGAAGATACAAATCTACCATGGTAAACAAAGCTCCTAGATGGGAGCTCCCACACCAATGAAATCACAGGCACGGCATGCTTTCCACTTCACCCCTCCCTTGCACAAAGGAAAAAGGGACAGGCAAAGGGCATGGTGGTGCAGTGCGTCAAGCACCAATCAAGCTAGTTAGGTTGCTGCCATTCTAGTCTTGGCTCGGCACTAACCAGCTAATATGACCTTGGACAAGTCGTTCTGCATCTTGGGTTCAGATGACCTTCCAGCTCAAATACTATAGGTCCCTCAAGTTTGATGATGAGGAAGCTCCACACCAACTACATGAGAGCACAGCAGCCCCTACTGGCAGCTCATGAGAATCACTGGGGGAAGTAACACAGATGCCAGAAGAGAAAAGGTTGGAGGCACCGGTTTTAACATAAGCCAAGACAGACTGTGGGGCCATCAGAGAAAGGGTCCACCTTTCCCCCTAATACTGGAAGACAGTGTTAGATCAATCTTTATATCTTTGAAGGGAGAGTAGAGGTTGCTCACCTCATTTGCAGTCAGCCTATAATGGGAGGTGTGTGTATGGAGACTGGCCTCAATTTTCTGAGGATCACACTGGGGTCTGTGACTTTAAAAAAAGGTCAAAGTACCTGTATTTTTAATAATTTCTTGACATGGTAAAAGAATTTTACATTACGATCCAGGGAAACTGGGGTAGGATAAGGATTGGGGAAGCTGGGTGAGGGACATCAGAACAATCCAACAAACAAAAAAATCGAACAACACCAAGAAACACATGGTGGAGAGGGAGAAGGTAGGTTAAGGACAGGAACGGGGTTCTAGGGGAGGCCCAACTAAAACACAGTTGGTTTGTTACTGAATATTATTCATGGGAAGACGATGTCCTGACTCCTTCACTATAACATAATGGGGCAGAGAGTAATGCATCCCAGGTAGAAACTAGCAGGGAAGTGAGGAGAGAGAAAAACAGAAGGGAAGATGGAAACACACATAGGGGAAGGGTTGATTGGCTGAAAAAAGCACTCTCTCTGAGGGGTAACAGAGCTGGTGGAGGCTGAAGAACCTGTAATAATGAATGGAATATATCCAGAGACTTCTCAAAGAGAGAGACAGCAATTCTTTCATGTTTTTGATCCACCCTGCAGATTTTCACACACAGCACAAACACACACACATGCACATGTACACCTACACACCCTACCCTCCTTGGGAAAAAATATAAATAAGAAAAATATTTCCAAAGGAAAAAGCCTAAAAGTAGCATCAGGATGGATCTAAGGGGCAGAGAACACCACCCTCTCATTTGTAACTGATTTAAGAAGAGCCAAATAGTTGGGGCAGCAGTCTTTGTAACAATTCCCAACAAGACTCTGAGAGTCACAGCATGGTAGCTGCCCTCCCTCTCTCCCAATGATCTACTCAGGTTGAACAGACTGGGCCTCTCAGCTGAATCCTCCTTCACTTAGTCTGGACACCTGACTCTTGGAGCTAGGATGGACTCCTGAAGAGGATGAAAGATCTGGTGATAGGGTCAGGAATATGTGGTGGCAGAGCTACATATGAAAAACTGAAAACCTCACAATAAAGACATCAAAAAAAAAAACAACAACCCTCTGAAAGAGACAGTAGAAAGTATAATATTTCCCGAGGTCCCAGTGGTAGGGAGATGCAATTTAGGAAATACAACCTCTCCCTCCCTTCTCCCACCCACTCCCCATCCCATCATCAGGGATCCTCTATGCCACAGAGAGGCAAGGGTAGCGCCCCCCCCACCCCATTCCCTCAAAGAAACACTAGGCTCTTTCACTTCCAACTCCCCCAATGTCTAACCAGCTAACTGAAAAAGAGACAAACAGACCAAGAGACCAGAGGTGGATTGGGGTGGGGAAAAGTGTTCAAGAGAAAGTGCATGTGTGCATGGACACACATATGCAAACGCTCCAGAAATGAGTCTCCACAAGGCAGGTTGGGAATGGGGACTAGGGTAGGAGTTCCTGAGGCCTGAAATAAGAGGTAAACACGTCACAGAACTACATGAGAGCTTCATTAGACTCTAACTAAAAACAGAAGAGAGGTGTGATTACTATTTCCAGCCAGTTTCCCCATCTCGATAGTCATGTAACAAACCAAGGCAATGTCGGTCTCGAGCCAGACTCACAGAGTCCCCCTGGCTCTGGCCCTGGCCTCAGTACAGCGTCTCTGCATTGCTGCTCCGGGGCCGCTTGATCTTCTCAATGTTTTTCAGGATCATGTCATGTAAAGTGACCTGAGAGAGAGGTTGGGGGAGGGGGAAGGAAAATCACCCACCTGGCTCTCATCCAGCATAGGCACAAGGACTTCAAACAGAGTTTCAGGTTAGGAGATGGGATCATTGGATATCAACCACCAACTTCATGCCCCTGAATCCTCAGATGAGAAGCAGAAACTAACCCCCCTCCCACTGGAGATGAGTGCTAAGAGACGCCAGGGCAACCGGAGGGTTATATGGTAAAGGGATCACTCACATATTGGTTCCTCAGTTCTGATATGATGAGCCGAAGGCTGATATATTCCTTCTCATCAATCTCTGTCACTGTGCGTCGATAGTCTTCCTGAAGAATGAGAAGGAAGGAAAGAAAAGGGAGAGGGAAAAGAGGAGTGGCTGTTTTTCAGGGTCAGGATGAAGGTCTGCTTATTCAACACTCTGCTCCCAATGTCATTTCCCATCCCCACCCACCAACAATTTTCTCACTTACCACATGGGGATATTTGGCTATTTTAGAAACCAATTTGGCTCTTGTAATGTAATATCTGGAAAGAGAAAGAAGAGGAAAGAGCAAGTAATAGAAGCAATCAAAGACAGACCCTGTTCCCCAATCCCTGGGACAGCTCCCAAAAGTCCTACCTAGAAATCTGGTCCAGATAAGATGCAGCTTCACTCTCCACAGTCCTTAGTTCTGCAACTGTCTCCTCCTGTGAAGGATTAAAAGGGTGGATGTGTAAAAGTAAATCCATTGTACCCCACTGGACACCAGCTAGGAGAGACCCAAAATAGGCAGAACAAATGGGAAAATGCCTCAACCTCTTCCTCTAGCTATCTCCTCTACCCCCATAAATGAACATGTATATATGTAGACTTTCACTCAAGGACTTTTACCAAACAATCAAGCCAGTACCTATTTTGCAGAAGTGCGAAAGCCACATAGGATATAAAGATAAGACCAGGGATGATAAAGAAGGATGTAGGATAAAGAAGACCAAATTTCTGCTCTCAATGAGATAACCTCACTGAGATAAGTTCAGAAGGCATTACCTGAATGGATACACCAAAGTTATTCCCATCTTCTATCCTGGGGATAAGGAGCTGAACCCACATTTTGACCTGGAAAGAAAACAGAGCAACATGAGAATCAGTGGCCTTTCTGTTGCAGAGCATTACTTATGGGAAAACTACTGCTGCATGGAGAAAGTAAAGAAAAGTGTCACTAAACACAGAGGAAGTTAGGGTTGGGGAGGGGCAAGACTGCCCTTCCACCTCAAAAATAAATACAAAATCACTCTCTTCTTCACATAAGCTATTATAACGTTTTTCCCAATCCATCATCATTTGCACATCCAACCCCCCATTCCACTCTGGCCTTACCGTGTTGCATTTCTCGATCAACAGCCGGATTTCAGGTTTCACCTTTTCAATAATGTCCACCAGCTGCTGGTTGCTTTTTAACATCCCATTAGGCATCACAAACACCTTGGTACCTGGTGGGAAAGGAAACAACTTATTTTGTCTGGAAGAGGAACAGACATTTTTCTCTCTCCCCCACCCCAGGACCTGGTATGCCAATCCACACCCCACCCCACCCCAACCCATGACACTAATGCCAGGTCAGGCCTTCCACTCTTCCACTGAAAAGCAGCTTCTGGATGGTTCAGAATTCCAATTTCAGGTGCATTCAATTCTAGAAAATGCAATCAGACTGTAGCTCTCTGGACATCAGATCAACCAAAATGGGCTGACAGAAGTAGGTTTGGGGAAAGGGATAGTGCTCACCCTGGAAGGCCTCCTCACACTCATCCAACTTCCTCTTCTTCAAATTGGGCTAAGGATATGCAGAGATTAAATGTTACCCTCCTCAAAGACATCAATTTTTAAATTACTTTATCCTACTCTTCCCATAGTCCTAAAACCTAAATTGAAAGTCCCCCACTGTTGATTTCACTCAATTCAATAAACATTTATGTGCCTATGTGCATAGCACAGTGCTAAGATACCCAGGATAAAGACAAAGTAAAAACAAGAAATCCACTCTTAAGAGATAATCTAATTGAAAAGGCTAGACTCATTAAGCAAATAATAGATAATTTGGTATAAGGATAGGTTGAATTTATTTGGGTATTCTTGCTTCAGGTCTACTAGTTCTACAAACAGCTGATATTTATTTAGTGCTTACTTTCAGATTTGCAATGCACTTTACACATATCAAATTTTTACGTACAAAGGTATAAGTCAAAAGGAAGGGTGAGCTTAGACAGCAAGAATTCCTGATTGTTGACAGAGTATGAGATACAAACTGGCAAAAAAGTCTTGCCCAAGACCAGATAGCCTATAACCTCTAGAGAAAGTGTATAATGATTTCAGTATTGCTGGATCTCACAACAGTTTTTGGAAAAAGATAGTTAAGAGTCTTCTCATGTTACAAAAACAGAAACAAGAGGGATTATGGTAAATTCAAAGAAACTGGCTCCTAGTCCCTAAAATAAGTCCTTACACTGGTCCCTTATGCAAACAGAACTCTGGTCTAGGGGCATCTACTGGTCAACAACAGAGAGCAGTAAAGAGAAACTTACACCATCCAATCCATCATGGCTATTGGTAAGAAGGATAGGATCAGGAACAGGGAGATTCATGTCTGAGTGGATCTGAGTTAAATCATGGATGTTTAAGATAGGCTCCTGGAAAGAAAAAAAAACCAACCTGTATGTTTTCAAGTTAAATAGAAATGGAAGGATGATTTAAGTGGGAAGATGGGGGATAGGCTATGGCTGTGGAATGTCACTGTCAGATGTGGTCACTGTCAGCTAGTCTGCTTAACTATTCTCCTTTGTTGTAAGGATGGGCTTGGGAATGGAGGTACAATAACATCTAGAAATTACTCCAATGTTAAAACAAAAGGAACAAATAAAACCTTTTTTAAGGTGTAAGGAAGGAGAATGTATGTTAGAAGGAACAAATAAAACCTTTTTTAAGGTGCAAGGAAGGAGAACGTAAGTTAGAATCAAACACAAAGCAGACAATTCCAATTTGCTATGGAGTCCAGCATCCTGAGGGAACTGGGGATAAAGGTAGCTACAGAAGGGAAGTGAGGGAAAGGAAGTATCTCTCACCTTCAAAAAACTATCAAGTTCTAATAACTTCTTTGGGAAAAAATTTGCCACCAAGTCTTCTGCCTGAAAGGGACACAGTGAAGTTGACTTACTGCTTACTTGAGGGCTCTTGACATCCAATCTGCACACTCCCCAGGTGACCTCTTTTGGGTATCCCCAACTAAATTAGTCTTCCCTTCCCACCCAACAAGCAGCATCACTCACCTCACTTGTGATCCGCTCCCTGAAAGAATCAACCTGCAAAAGGCAAGAACAAACATCAGGACTTCCTCCAAGGCCTGGGAACAAGGGGGAAGAGATGTGCCCTCATGAGCAAAAAACAAAAACTCCACACACCCACCAAAAAACCGTTCCTGGTGCCTCTGCTCACCTTGTAGTTGTAATAAGAAGATGAGAGACCCCCAGATTCTAAGTATTTTATTTTTTTGACGATCCATTTCTCCATCTTGGGGGTGGTACTCACGGAATAGGGGCCAACTCTCATCGGTTTTTCCTCCCTCCCTATGTCAGCTTGCTCCCTCAGGTAAGGGGGGTTGTAGAGGAGTGGGGACTGGGGGGCTGTGATCTCACAAACGCATCCCTCAACCCTCCGTGACGATGCGACAGCAACCCCAAACACCTGTGGGATCTTGGAGCCGGGAGGGGGAGGGGGGAGTTGGCGCCGCACCATCAATAAGGAGAGGGTTGGTTTCGCAGCAGCTTGCCTAGGGAACTCGGCCCAACACGTGTCCGTCACCGCCTCCCCCGAGCCCAGCGCGGGGAGAAGCAGCAGCGGCCCCAGAGTAGTAGCATCCCTGGGTGAAGCAACGCTCCGCTCGCCTCCAAGACGAGCTGGTGGCCAGCCGGGGCTGGTGGCAGGATGGGGAGAGCCCGGGGCAAAGGGAGGGGGCGACGGGCTCAGAGACGCCCCCAGGAGACAAAGGCGGCCGCCGCAGGGTAAAGAACCGGCCCGGCGGGGTCGCGGGGAGGAGGCGGGGGCTGCTACCTTGAGCTTCACTTCCTGATCCACCTTCAGCAGCGAGGCCATTGCCGGGGCGGGCCGCGTCCGCTCCGCTGGGGGGTCCGGGGCAGGGGACCGGAGGACCTGGGCACCGGAGCAGGCTTCGGCTTCCTTCGGGCCTCCGCCGGCCTGTCTGGCTCCCTCACTTCCTCGCTGCCTCCCGGGCGCCTGCCTGCCTGCCTTCTTGCCTGCCTGCCTCCCAGCTCGCTCACTCGCTTGCCCGCCCGGCTTCCGCCGCTTGTACCGGAAGTCGCGTCACAGCCAATCGCCGGCGGGCTCGCGGGCGGCACGTGCCGGGCGCGCGCTCTTACGCACGCGCACCCTAACGCGAAGCGCAAGTCTGGGCAGGAGGCCAAGGAGTCGTGGTCTCTGTCGTCTTTGGCCTCAGCAGCCGCTCGGGGCAGAGGATGGGAGTCAGGGGCGCCCTAGGCGGCTAACAAGAGCTTGTGCCTTCCTCTTTTGGGCCCCGGGGCATTACGTAGAGAGTGAAGGACGCCACAAGGGCCCCGGGCATCATCGGGCAGTCATAGCATCACTGATGAACTCGAGGCGCCAATGCGCCGTCGCGTCGCAATGACGTCATCACTGCGGGCCGGGTCCTGGGCTGTCAGTGGAACCCAGCAGGTGCAGGAAGCCTCCGGCGGAGGCGAGCCAATTCAGGGCCCCGAGATGCTTGCCCAGGTGCCAACCACCTGGTCTGTGCTGAGGAAGTGCACCCGTCTTGTCCTGTTTCTTTTATCTTAATCTGGGAGCCCTCCGAGGACAGCGACTGACTCATCATCAATAGAGGATTTAAAGAGTTAGATTACAGAGGGAACTTAGAGATTACCTTGTCCAACCTTGCCTTTTTACAGTTAAGGAAACTAAGGCCCAGAGATGGAAAGTTGGTTAATCAAGGTTGCTTACATAGGTGACCGAGCCAGGTCTAGAAACCATAGCCAAAAACAGAGAACACACCCTGCTCTGACAACAGTTTAGGACCATGCACGGTGAAGTCCTGCCCCAATGTCATTCTCTTTGGGCTACCCCATCAGCACTTTTGTTTTGTAACTCTCAAATATACTTCTTATGTAATGTTTATTACAGCTATAGGTATTTGGGTCTTATACCCCACTTGACTGTAACCTCTATGAGTTCAAGGGTCTTTTCAAAATTTTATATCTCAAGCATCTAGCAGCACATTGCTTTCCACACAAGAAACCTCTTAGTGTTTTTTGTGCTGTACCCTGTGTCAGAAGAGAATTGCAAAGGGTCTTCACAGTTCCTTGAGTAGTGGGCAGAGAATTTGTAGTTACATTCTACGACCCGTATTGTCTCTTCCTTATAGTCCTGGATTTGGAGTAAGGGAAGATGAGTTCAAATTCAGCTGCTGACACCAAGATGTTAGCTTTTACCATTCATGGCAGGATAAAAGGTGTAAAGAATAGCTTTATTTTATAGCAGCTTGAAGTTTGAAAAATGCTTTATTGTAGTTGATCCTCAGTACCCCATAAGATAGAGATACTATTATTATACTGTTTAAGAGTGAAGAAACAGGCTTAGAAAGGAGAAGTTAATTGCCCAGGGTTTCACAGCTGGATTTGAACCCAGGTTTTTTTTTTTCCAATTCTTAAGTTCAGTTCTCCATTACACCTCATAAGCTACTCACCCCAGGGTGTTCTTGTCAGTCAGTTAATAAACATTTATTAAATTCCTGCTATATGCCAGGCACTGTTCTAAGCACTAGGGATACAAAAAGAGACAAAAGACAGTCCTTGCCCTCAAGGAATTCACAATCTAATATGGAAGACAACAAGCAAACAAATATGTACAAACAAGCTGTGTACAAGAGGAATAGGAAACAATTGAGAAGGAAGGCACTGGAATTAAGAAAAGTTGGAAAGGCTCCCTGTAGAAGATAGAATTTTAGTTGGGACTTAAAGGAAGTTGGTAGGCAGAGATGAGGAAGGAGTGAATTCCAGGCATGGGGGGACAACCAGGGAAAATACCTGAAGCTGAGAGATGGAATGTCTTTTTTGTTGGATGTCAAGGAGGTCAGCGTCACTGGATAGAAGAGTACATGGCTAGGAGTAAAGG